CCCCAAAACCCCAAAACCCCAAAACCCCAAAACCCCACTCAAGGAAGAAAATATTGAAAAGGGCTACAATTTAATATTTATGGGACCTATTTGCCCTCCTTGGGTCATTTTGAATCCTTTAAGTTTCTTTTCTAAAATAATGATTAGAGCACCCTTCGGAGAAATTTCTCAGCCGGCTTAAAGCTAAATAACCTTCTTATATTTTATGGTAGTCTATGAGACGATCTTGATGAATAATTCAAGAGTTCTGAAGATATTATTTACTGAGCTTTACTTGGCATCGATAGAAATTTCATTGTCTCGTAAACTGTACTGGAGGGCTTTCATTGAAATCAATGAAGAAATATGAGTTTTGTGTTAAAGACATATCCTAAAGAACAGAAAGCGAAGATCATAAGAAATTAATGAGACGAATCTAAATGCTTACTTTTTGGTTTCTTAATATGAAGTTTTGGCTGATAATTTGCTTGCCTGATATCGATCGTACTCATCTGTCTGCTTTTCTTTTTGGCCCTCTTAAGAGACTTAGGGTTTTTGGATTGAGCGAAGGATTTAGTAAGGCGAATTCTAAGTGTTCTTGTCCCTCTTCCACTTTTCTTATCCCCAAGTTTGGTCTTTAACTCTTTTAGGTATTGCTTCATGATCTTGGGAGTTTTTCTTTTCTCAGGACGCTTCTCCCTGTCTATTACAGCTAATTGCTGAAGATATCCATACTTATTTCAAAATATAATTAGATGCATAAAAAAGTGGTGTTTGCTTATAATTATTCAAAGCATGAATATTCGCTCCTCTAGCAACGAGGTAATTAATCATCCTTTCATTGTCTCTTATCATTGCTTTATGTAAGCATGTATTGCCGTCTTCATTCCTAATGTTAATATTAACGCCTGTTTTGAGAATGAGGTCAACACTTTCAAAGAAGCCACCATCGACTGCATAGTAAAGTGCTGTATTGCCCAGCTCGTCTTTGACACTGAAAGTTTTGGCCTTTGGCTCCTCTTGAGCTCCTCCAAAAGACTTCCTAGTTGGTTTGGAATTAGACTCTAAAGCCTTTTTGATCTTCTCTGACCCAGGAAGTTTTGAGTTCATTTTCTACACAATTATTAAAGGATTATTACTAAGTTGTGGATCTGGCTGACGCTCAAAGTTGGCTGCTTTTGAACAATTCCTTCGTTGCTTTTAAATCTATAACAGTTTTTTTAGAAATTTCAGCTTTTAGGTAAATCTCTTGTTGAGGGTATAAACATGAAAATGTAACAATAAGGTTGAATGGAGTGAGTAGAAGACGTCTGTGATAGTTTACCTTTTATTTAGAACAGACTCTTTTGAAATAGGAGAAAATATTTTTCTTAGCTGCATTTATGATGTTCCTTTGCTCAACACTTAGTTTCACTTTTCTTACTGATGGTTTCATCGACTTTCTCATGGCCTTAGCAGTTTGAGGCCGTTTATTTTATCTTAGGTGTCTGGTTCAGTTTGATATTAAGAGGTTTTCCTTCTTTAGGTACATGTTAGAAGTTGTAAGTTGAGTGAAGGAGTGAAGGAGTTGGAGGAGTTTATAGGATTTTCACCATGGAATTGTGTTAATGATTTTGAAGATAGATTTTCTGAATTAAAAAATAAATTTCTATTCGAAATATTCTTATTACTTTCATAAATATATAAAGTTTCTTGAAATAATAAATAAACAAGGAAGAAGACTTAGACCAACAATTATTCATAAACCATAAATTCTTCCTTCAAACAAAATTAAGCAAAATTTCATTCAAACACCTCAGAACCAAATTTTCCAAAACTCCAAACCATCTCCTGGAAACATCAAACCCTATGCCCATACCAGACTCCATCGTCTTAATACTCTCCCTGAGTGTACACAAATACTCTGGCCTGATCATTATCGGCGAATCCTGATAAAACCCCTTCTTCAAATCCTCCCTAAAAGCCATTTTCACGTTATCCAATGGCAAAGGGTACTTATTCCTACACAAAATCAGCCTACACCCCCAAATCCCCTTACTTTTGCTTTATAATTTACTCGTGCTACTACAAATATATGAATTCCTTCTGGGAGTCACTATATTATTCATCATCTTCTCTGCACTCTTCTCAGGGTCAAAAATAGAATCAAACATTTCTCAAAATTATTCTTTATCAATATTATAAAAGTTTTTGGGGTTTTGGGGTTTTGGGGTTTTGGGGTTTTGGGG